AGGTCAGTAATTTTAGGGTGAGTATCATGAGTAACTTGTCCACATCAACGTGACATCAGCAACCCTCTCTCTCATGGAAATCCTTTTATTTTTTCTTCTTTAATTTTTATCGACGATTTCTCTCTTGTTTTAAGTCAGAATTTAATTTTTTTTTCTGAGATAAATCAGATTAATTGTGCTTTTTAAAATTATATCCACTTTGATATATTTTTAGAAAAAAAAACTGAGTCATTTTTTACCATATGGTATTGAATAGGAGCATACCATATGGTAAGAAAGCGTACCATTATGGTATGAACATACCAAAATTGTAGGAAGGTTAAATACATGATAGTAGGAGTATACTAACTGTCATTTACGACTTTAATCATTGTTTACCACAAGTTATACCACCCCCATACCAGGGTGGTAAAGTATGGTAACTTTTGGTCCTGTATTTTTTTCATCCAGAAATTTACAGATCCAATAGATCATGATGAACTCGTTCCTTCTGAGCAAATATTTTAAAAAATGACTTAAAAACGAAGAAGTTACCATATGGTATGTATTTTGTAACAGGAGGTATGAAAAAAAATCTCAAAAAACATTGAAAATTGATCTCATTTTGTAGAGCACAACGAACTCGTTCCATCTGTGCAATTTTTTTTTAAATCCGAATTAGAATGAAGAAGATAAGAGTCGATTAAGAAAACTAGGGAAAGTAAAGTGCTTTTAATTCTCAACATTTAGATATGAATTTTCTAGATCCACTTAAATTTGATGCTTGAGATTTGGTTACTCATTGGTCAATAACCACTATAACTAGTGGTTACTAACCGTATCCTAAAGCCATATTTCCTTTATGTTTGCTTTAATGAACATAATCTCGTTCCATTATCCCCTACTTTGTTATGAATAATTAATATTACAGCCTTATAGTTTCGATAAGAAATTTGAAAATTGTAAAGATCAATGTTGTAACATTTTAGGCGAATCTCACATCGACAAAACACAGGAGAGATTCATAATTCATTAGTAAGAAACCAACTTTATCTGACAAGACGCGTTTTAGAGCGAAATTAAGGAGTTTTTGTAAGATATTCGAAGTTAACGTGCTCTTTACGGAGCACTGCAATTAGGGGTGGCTATTTGGACCGGGACCGAATTAAAAACCGGAAACCGAACCGTATAACCCGGACCGAGACCGGACCGGGACCGGATAGTAAACAATCCAATCCAGTCTTTGGGCTTAGATTTGAGGTAAAAAACCGGATAAAGACTGGATAAGAGAGCTCAACACCCAAAACTTAAGGGTAATTTGCATAAACGGTCACAAACCTTTGCACTTAGTACAAAACTTAACCAACTCCTCACCCTTTAAGGCTTTAGGCCACTCAAATCCCACAATCTCTATGTAAAATCAAGACCGAATTGGGACCGGACCGGATCAAAACCGGACCGGATCAAGACCGGACTGTATCCAATCCAATTTTCGGTCCTTATATTTTCAAAAAGACCGGACTGGACCGGATCAATTTGGGCCAATTTAACCGGACCGGACCGTATAGCCACCCCTAACTGCAATGATTGATTTCTTGATCTTATGGGAGACGAACTCGCACCACAAGACAAAATCTGTGAGTATCTAAACCTAAAACGGACAATATTAAAATAGTTCGAAATGTTACAAATGTGGTGTAAATAAATCGATTATTTTTTCTTCTCTTTCATTTGTGGTATCTTCCTCCCCTTCCCTCCGTTCACAACAAACATTTTCCGAATCCTTCCTCCCTCCCATCTCCGTCGTATCTGCTCCTACAACTAGGGATGGCTATACGGTCCGGTCCGGTTAAATTGGCCCAAATTGATCCGGTCCAGTCCGGTCTTTTTGAAAATATAAGGACCGAAGATTGGATTGGATACAGTCCGGTCTTGATCCGGTCCGGTTTTGATACAGTCCGGTCCCAATTCGATCTTGATTTTACATTGAGATTGTGGGATTTGAGTGGCCTAAGGCCTTAAAGGGTGAGGAGTTGGTTAAGTTTTGTACTAAGTGCAAATGTTTGTGACCGTTTATGCAAATTACCCTTAAGTTTTGGGTGTTGAGCTCTCTAAGCCCAAAAATTGGATTGGATTGTTTACTATCCGGTCCCGGTCCGGTCTCGATCCGGGTTATACGGTCCGGTTTCCGATTTTTAATCCGGTCCCGGTCCAAATAGCCACCGCTACCTACAACCCCTCAACGCCAAAAAAATGCCACCATCAAAATTTCACTTCTCCCCCCTTTCTCTATTCCATTTTCTCCCTCCTCGCATATCAGCCCTTCCCCGCCATGAAACCCTACCTCGATCTTCTCCAAAAGATCTAGATAACGCGCCAAATCTCCTTTGTCGCGCCCCCGCCACCACTCCCTCCACCACCTCAATCATTAACAAACAGAGAGGGCGTGAAGGTGGCGATTCAAACGGTAATACCGCAGCACCGACGAGAGTATCCATATTAATGGCAATGGTAACCGTACGATGACCGTATGATCAATGGCAACGCTGACCGTACGATTACTGGTCTTGCTGACCTTGATGAGTACCGTGGCAATGAAGCCATCGGAAGCACAACTGTCCCCAAACTTCTACTCCAATTCCTGCCCCAACGCCCTCTCCACAATACGAACCTCCATCGGGACGGCCCTCGCCAAGGATCCGACCTTTGGCGGCCGCTCTAATCCGGCTCGAATTCCACGACTGCTTCGTCCACGGCTGCGACGCTTCCATCCTGCTCGAACAATCCCCGACCACCAACACCACCACCGAGAAAACGGTCCCGTCAAACATATCCACACGAGGCTACGAGACCGTCGACGCGGCCAAAGCTGCGTTCGAAGCGGTCTGCCCAGGAGTGGATCTCCTGCGCCGACGTCCTGACCGTCGCCGCAAGAGACGCTTCCGCCTACACGGGAGGCCCCTCCTGGGACGTGAAACTCGGTAGGAGGGATTCCACCTCGGCGTATCCCGACGAGGTGCTGGCGAACCTCCCCTACTTTAAAGACGATCTCCAGACCCTGATCGATCTGTTTGGGAGGAAAGGGCTCGGCCCAAGAGACATGGTTGCCCTCTCTGGGGCCCATACATTGGGCCAGGCCCAGTGCTTCACCTTCCGCGACCGGATCTATGGCGGCAATGTCACGGACATTGACGACGGATTCGCTAGCGCTCTCAGGCGCCAGTGTCCGACTGTGGGCGGGGATTCGACGCTGGCTGCAATGGATCTGACTCCCGACAAATTTGACAACAACTACTTTAGGAATATTTTGCAGAAGAAGGGGCTCCTGAAAACCGACCAGGTCCTTTTCAGCGGTGGCCTTACTGATAGCATAGTGGTTGAGTATAGTAGGATTCCTGCCAACTTCAATGCCGATTTCGCGGCCGCCATGATCAAAATGGGAGATCTTCAGCCTCTCACTGGTTCCGCGGGACAGATTAGAAGGATTTGCGGCGCCGTCAACAATTGATCAGAAAATTAGTTAGTTTTTTATTTCTTTGATTTAATATTATTTTGTTGTTATTGAATGTAGTGTAACTTCTTTCCTTTGGTAATAGGATAGGAGTAATCTCACGATAATAAAAAAGTATGAGCTAGCTGTAAATAGCAATTATTATCTCATGTGTAAAAATGAATTAATTTTGTACTGTATCAATTTTATTCATCTCTATTCACTTCCATTTTCGTTTCCTGTTTTCTGTTTTCATGTCATAAATTTGGCAACCGAAACGAGAAAATTTGTTTACTTTTCATTCTGTTTTCTATTCGTTTCCAACTATGAAAACAGAAAGTGGCAACTTCCTGCTGTTTTCGTAAACGACAAAATGTTGTTTTCACCTGTTTTCAACATCTGTTTTCTCAAAAACTAGAAACATAAATGAAAGTAAACATACCCTATTCGTTTCCAACTATGAAAACAGAAAGTGCAACTTCCTGCTGTTTTCGTAAACAACAAAATGTTGTTTTCACCTGTTTTCAACATCTGTTTTCTCGAAACTAGAAACATAAATGAAAGTAAACAGACCCTGATAGTCTTTTTCGAGGACCTTCGATTAATTTAAAATGATCTTTGAAACGTGGTTGGCTAAATTTGGACTTCTAGATGCTTGCAAATCACAGTTACATACAAGATGTTAATTGAATGGATTACAAAGCCATATTGAGAATAATACAAAAATAAGTACATATTGTTTGGAAGAGAAAGACAAATTAAATGGGTATCACATAAAATAGAATTGACAATCAGCTAAAAAGTTTGTCCCTCTATAACATGGCCAATTCCAACAATTCTTCTAATTTTAGATCCTCATTTCCAGCTCTGTTTGGTAAGTTTGACGTGTTAGAAAAGGTGGTCTTCAGGTTGAAAGTTAGTGTAACTTTGTTTACCGACTTCGAATTTAAATGAAGAAGATAGTGAATCATAAGAGATTAATGATGATCAAGCGGAGAAGATGAGATCGATAGCGTATTAGATCATGTCAAGTGGTAAAATTTGGTTGTCTGAAAACTTTCTTTCTCTCTCTTTTCCTTAGTTCTATTTTGGTTTCCTTGGCTCTAGATCGACTCCTGATCAAATGAAGAAGATTCAAAAATTCTATGCCATACACAGTAAAAATAAAAATGGTTTAAATTGATCGGTTAGATTATCAGCACTCCTTGGTTTACATGCTGTTATAATTGAGTTTACGGTCATACTAGCTAATTGAAACTTATCGAGAAGAAGACTTGTTAGAACTACTAGATCTATTATGAAATATATTTTTAATTTATAAATCACACTTATTAAAACTATAAAAAAAAATTCTTCCTAGTGAAAACCATACTCTTAACTTAGTACTTCAAACCAAAGTTTTATATTTTCCCGTAAATCAACAACCTCAACAAATCGGTGGAGGATAGAGTTAAGAAATAGTATACAATAACTTTAAACAATATTCATAAGAAAAATAAAAACATATTTTTGCTCTTTCTACCCGTCGCAAAATATAATATTCCCTTTCTTGTCATTTAAACTAATCACCAATCAGTACTATAGAATATAGATCATACACTACATAGAGCATGGGAAAATAAATTAAAAACAAAATAGAATGGAAGAAGCAACTACATTAAAAGAAAACTCATCAATTACTCTCCGATCTTAACAAAATCGATCTACTAATCAATTAAACGAAACAAATTAATGTACCCAACTAATTAATTAGCCTTACTGCAAGTCCTCCTAATCTGACCATCGGATCCAGTCAACACCTCAATACTCCCCATCTTAACCATCGCCGCCGCGAACTCATTTTTAAACTTCCCGCCATCCTTACTGTACTCCTCCACAACCCCATCCGTCTCACCGCCGCTAAACAGTACCTGATCCGTCACCAAAAGCCCCTTCCTAATCATCAGCGCCTTGAAATAATTATTATCAAATGACGTCGGCGTCACCGGATCCAGCGGCTGCACCAGCCGGTCCCCGCCGCTGGCGGGACACATCCGACGCTTCTTCCTCGCAAAATCCGGGTCGATCACGTCCTTCACAACAGTCACGTTTCCGTACACCCTGTCGCGGAACGCGAGGCACTGCGCGGTCCCCAGCGTGTGGGCCCCGGACAGCGCCACCATCTCCCGCGAATTCAGCCCCTTTTTGCGGAACAGCGCGATCAGCGTGTTGAGGTCGTCCTTGGGAGTCGGTATGTCGGACGCCGCGAGGGAAGCAAACGCGACGTCGGAGTCCCGCCTCCCGAGCTCCACGTCCCAGGAGGGGCCCTCCACGGAGGCGGAGGCGTCGCGCGCCGCGACCGCGATGATGTCGGCGCAGGAGACGACGCCCGGGCAGATCCGCTCCAACGTGGATTTCGCGTCCTCGATGACGCGGAACGTCTTGGTGAAGCGGCGATTGGGGACGGCGCCCTTTTCGGAGACGGTGGTGGTGGTGTTGTCGAGGAGGACCGAGGCGTCGCAACCGCGGACGAAGCAGTCGTGGAACTGGAGGCGGATTAAGGAGGCTGCCATTCTCCGGTCTTTGGTGACGGCGCCGCGGACGACGGCGCGGACGGCGGTGAGGGCGCGGGGGCAGGTTTGGGCGTAGAAGTCGGTGGAGAGACAGAAAGCAGCCGGCGGTGTGGTTAGTAATAGCGTGAATGTTGTGAGGAGTAATGCGGCTACTCGTTTCGGCATTGTGGATGACATTGTACGTAGTTAGGCTGGTTATTGTGCTAAACTCGGCTGTTGATTTGTTGGATTGATTAGTGACAGTAAGACACTAATTTATAGAACGTTAAGTTGGAAGAAGGTGACAGAGGATGGGATTTGTAAGACTAGTGTCGAGTTTATTAATTAAAACACTATTCTTAATGGATGGAGGTTGCGTGACAAACTTCAGACTATGGGTTCTCTTTTTTCCTTCTTTTCCATTGCTATGTGGTGGATCGACGTCAGATGCGATTGGGAGTTTAGGCGGCGAGATAAATATTTACTAATTCCCCCTATTATAGAAATAGAATAGCAATATGTTTGTTTAGGCACTAAACAAAATTATTAAAATTATGAAGACGACAACAGGGAGGATATTATTTGAGGTCATGGTTGTTAAAGTTAAACTGCTTTCCGACCAGCGAAGAGGAGATGATGGGGATGGTTAGATGCATTCCGCACCCTCTTCACGGATCAATCCAACTCGGTGAATTTCCTCATTTCGGCCTTCCCTAGCCTGGACAACTTGGCGAGGCTCGACGCGGAGGTAGAAGGCTGTGAATGTTGATCGTTACGTAACAATAATCAAGAGGAAGAGTATCGATCGGGACGAGATGAGATTTATGTGGTTTTCTTGTTCGATCGTAATCGAACAAGACTAGTTCACGGGAGGGTTGTGTACTTCTTATTTAACCGTACTCAACATAGCACATTAGGTTGCATATATATAAACTCGGCTATCTCCTAATTAACCCTAGCCGAGACACTATAGTTAATGGGCCGAGCCTTATAATTACAAGACCATAAACCGAGATGCATAATACTCAACACCCTCCCCCAAATTGATGAGGGGTTCTCATCGTCAATTTGCCAGCCAAGAAGGAATGTCGAGTGACAGTGAAGGCCTTGGTAAAGAGGTCTGCGAGCTGATCTTCAGAATTGATGTAGCAGATGCGAACGGTACCATCACAAACGAGATCACGAATATAGTGAACATGTACCTCAATGTGCTTCGTGCGATCATGGAAAACAGTATTGGTAGCAATGCGTATGGCACTCGTATTGTCAACATAAAGCTCCATAGGAGTGACACATGTGACACCCAAATCCCCTAGTAAACGACATAACCACTCAAGTTCAGAGGTGACATCAGGCATAGCTCGGTACTCTGCTTCAGTGGACTATTTGGAGACCCGGTCTTGTTTCTTGCCCCTCCAAGATATGACAAAAGAACCCAACCTAATACACTAGCCAGTCGTCGATCGGCGGGTGTCAACACATCTGCATAATCAGAATCGGAAAAGGCCTGGAGCACAAGTCATCCATCAAAGGAGGGAGGGGGGGGGGGGAACAAACCGACATCACGAGTCCCTTGCAAGTATCGGAGAATCCTATGAACAGATGTCAGGTGATCAGTACGAGGAGAAGACATTAACTGACTTACGATCTGCACTGCATATACTATATAAGGGCGAGTAGAGTCCAGGTAGATGAGACTGCCAACTATGCTGCAATATTGCCTCCCACCGTCTGGTAACAGATCACCTGAGTCCCTCCCCAGCTTCAAGTCGAGTTCAATAGGAGTAGCCACAGGAATACAATCACTATGTTGGGTGGCATCCAAGAGATTATCAATGTATTCCCGTTGGCTAAGAAGAATACCGGAACGAGAGCAAGACACCTCAAGCCCCAGATAGTAAGAGAGAGAACCAAGTTCCTTGAGGTTGAAAGACTTATGAAGACCCCGTGTGAGTTCGGCAATGCCCTCGGAATCATCGCCAAAAACGATCATATCATCCACGTATATAAACATGACCACCAGACCCCGAGCAGTGCGACGAGTGAAGAGAGAATGATCATTCGCACTCTGAATGAATCCAAACCCCAGAATAATAGACTGAAACTTATCAAACCAGGCCTGAGGAGCCTGTTTAAGACCATATAGAGAGCGCTGGAGCAGGCAGAAGAGTCCGGTGGATCAACAGTATAGCCCGGTGGTCGTTCCATGTAGACTGTTTGTTTGTGCTCCCCGTGGAGGAAAGCGTTCTTGACATCAAGCTGATAGAGAGGCCATCCTATAAGTGAGGCAACAGCGAGAAGAGACCTAACTGTGACCATTTTTGCTACCGGTGCAAAAGTTTCCTCGAAGTCGATGCCGTATTATTGAGTAAATCCCCGTGCAACAACCCGAGCTTTATGTCGTTCAATAGAACCATCAGGTTGAACTTTTTATGGCATAGACCCAGTTACTCCCCACAACCGGAACTTCACGTGGTGGACGTGGAACCACAACCCACGTATTATTTGCATGCAATGCTGATATTTCGTCAGTCATGGCGTTATCCAAGACGGGAATACCCTTGGCTTGGGAGTAGCGGGTTGGAACTCAAAGTGGCGCCACCTGAAAAGAGACATATTTAAGGTGGCGGACAGGGGGTTGTCCGAGGTTGGCCCGCTGCGATCTGCGAAAAGGAACAAGAGCAGCTGGTGGAGAAGGTGGCGGTGAAGCAGATGATGCTGAAGAAGAAGAAGAGTCTGACGTCCCGGGGGAGGAAGGGGCGGGAGAGGGCGCTGCGGATAAGGGGCTGGCGGAATGTCCAAGTCATAGAGAATATCATAATCATCGTCATGCGGAAATGAAGGAAGGGCTAGGGACGTATTAAAGAGAGTGCTAGGTTCCGAGGAAGACGAGTAGTACCTTAAGTTCTCAAAGAACACGACATTGCAAGCTATACGGAGACGACTAAGAGAGGGATCATAACATAAGTAAAACTTATGAATGTCGTTGTATCCAAGGAACACACAACGAGCTGTCTTGGAGATTAACTTAGTTCATTCAAACCGAGGAAGAAGAACAAAACATAGCCAGCAAAAAAGACGAAGACTCGAGTAAGGAGGATGTTTTGAAAGCAACCGAAAGTAGGGACTGTCCTAACCTAAGACCAGAGTGACTTGATAATTTATAAGATGAACAACAGTAGCTACCGTCTCAGGCCAGAAGGAGGAAGGGACATGAGAAGCTAGAAGAAGAGCACGAATTACTTCCATCACATGTCGGTTCTTTCGTTCTACCAAACCATTCTGTTGGGAAACCTCAGGTCATGATTTCTGAGTAAGAATGCCTAGTGATCGATATAATTCAAGAATAGGATTGGAGCTAAACTCACCACCAGGATTTGACCAGACTACACGAACAGTTCTATCAAATTGAGTTTGAATCATTTTGAGGAATTTTGTGGCAGTAGCCAAAAGATCGTATTTTTTACGCAAGCAATAGACCCATGTGTAACGAGTTCTATGATCGACAAACAGAGCAAAATACTTGTAACCATGACGGGAGGTAACTAGACTGGGACCCCATATATCGGTATGAATCAAGTGAATAGATTCTGTGATAACAGTACGACTTGACGGAAAAGAAATGCAAGTTGTTTTGGCCTCTACACAACATGTACAAGAAAAATCAGACGAATGAGGCACCTTATTACCAAACAATTGTTTCTTAAACATAACTCCTAAGCGAGTTGAGTTAGGATGACCCAATCTCGGGTGCCATAGTTGAAATGTACGATCACCAAGACTCGAAAACACAATAGAGAGGGAAGACCTAGACACCGACGAGGATAAAGTGGACGATGACGATGATGGTAGTGGGTCGAGTTGCTCTAGGTAAAAGATTCGTCCAAGCTTGTTACCTGATGACTCGATATTTGCACATGTTTTCCCCTTTGTTTCTTGATCGTTTAAGCTTGCATTATCGCTTCTTTGGCCTATTTTACGCTAGGTTGTGTTCCTTTGTCACATTTCAGGCCCTAGCACATAAAGTGAAGCGTAGGCGCAAGTTTCAAGTCAATCGGAGATCAATTGGCGATTAGGGAGAAGAAACACGAGCATGATCTGAAGAAGAATGGATTTCTACCTCACTTTATGGACAAAGAATCATGAAATTTTGTTATGAAAAGAAAGAGGACGAGACTACGAGTGTCTGGGTTCAAACGGCGACTGATTCGGAGTCCGGACGAGGGAGAAACGAAGCTTTGAACAGGGGTGGAGGAAGAATTACGGGCAGGAGAATTACGACCGTAATTTCCCCTCCCATGCCCGTAATTTCACTGCCGAGAGGAGTTTTGGGTGCTTGAAACTTAACCAAAACGCGTGTTTTGGGCAAAATACGGGCATGGAAGAATTACGACCGTAATTCAGCCCGTAATTCGCCCAGAATCGGGTTTTTGAGGCAGATTAGAGCCAAAGGAAAGGAGAGCTGGGTTTTGGATCCCAAACACCCAAGGGACGAACCCTAGAGAGAGAGAGTGACTTGGGAACATTCTTGGAGCTATTTTGGAGGATTTCTTCGCCATTGGAGCTCGGGAATCAAGCTTGGAGATGGAGATTGAAGATCTAGATCAGATTTCTGCAGTCACTCTCTTCTCTATGGAGTAACTTCCCTTCACTTAGGTTTTGAGGAACCTTAGTTCCATGAGTTAGGATCTTTCTTGTATGAAGTTTTGGATGCTATATTGTTTGATTATAATCGAATGATGCATGTTTATTGAGTCGATTGAAGTCTGATCATCTTTTCCTGATTCTTGCTGCAATCTGAGATAGATAGAATCTGATTAGGTTGCTAGAGTCTCATCATTCGGTAGTAGGAGATTGGCTATACGAGAGTTAGCCAGTTTACTGCTTTGTACTGGAATCCAATTCCAGTAGTGGAGTTCTGTGCTTATTGCTTCAGCTTTCTATCCCGGTGAAGACTAGTCGTCTGCCGGATAGTTAGACTGAGAGGGCTTGTTCAGCTTAAGAGATTCCAAGCTACTGTCGGATCTTCCGCAGTTTAATCAACAGTAAATCAACCAAAAGGAATTACAACTTGGACCTAATTGAGGAGCTAGGGGGAATCATACCTAAGTGAGTTCCCAAACTGTAATTAATAGTTTTACTTAGTTTAGTTAGTAGAGTAGTTTAGTTAATCAATCCTTAATCTAGTTTGCTAGATAATGAACTGAAGCTGAGTAATAGTAACTCTAGAGACCCGTGGATTCGATATTTA